CTTCAAATTAAAAAAAAATGAGATGCTGGCATACTTCATTCCTAAGTATTTGCTTCCAGCATTTTTTATTTCCAGTAATGCCTCTGGACTCCGAACAGAGCTCACAACTTTTCTTAGAAAACAAAAGTGATGGGTGGCAGGAATCTAGTGTTTTTATTTGGCAACGTGTCCTCCTGCCCCAGAACAGGACACTAGCTGAAGACTAGGGAACATTCTGATAGAGTGGGGTTGATGGGTGGCAAACAGCATTCTGATAAAATGATGCTCTGCAACTGATTATAAACTTGTAGCAGTTATTCAGTGAGACAGCAAGCTTCCTCTCTGGCAGCTATTTTACAAGAGCATCCACAACATGTCTTCAATTTCCAAATATGCCCACCATTTAAAAAATCCTGGGGACTCTGAAGGAAGCAACATGGATGGTAGACTCCCATTTATTTCTTTGTTTGGTTTGCATGCTACAATTTTATAGTATAAACAATTCAAAGAAGCTCCAAACCCAGGCATGCATGCCAGAATAGGACTGTATTGCTTTGTGGATAAGACAAAGTGATAGCCAATTAAAGGCCTGAAAGACCTATTTTATGGTGGAACTAACAGCTGGTCCTGTTGGTTAAAGAAGAAGAAAATTAAAAACAAACTGACATCATATAAAGCAGTCTTTGCCCAGCTAGGTAGCAGCTCTTAGTCAGCCTTGGCTGATCTTAAAATGCTAAGCAAAGTCTGAATTTGCAAACCAAACTGAGAAGGTAGAAAGCCATCCTGGGAGAAGTAATGGCAAACCATTTTCATATCGTCGCTATAAAAACTACTTTAATATGATGATTTTATTTGCTTTATATTCTTGGACTGGAACCTTAACAACTTCAGGAGTGATTTACAGGCACAATTTTGATAATACTTAATACATACCAGTTTCTGGGGTTCTTTGGTAAACTGAAGTACTCCACTTGCCCTCCCTTTCTCCTTGTGAAATTTTAACTGCAAATTCATACATAGTGTCTGGAATTAGTTTATCCACCAAGACCCGCTTGCTGGATACTTGTTTGTAATCCCACCTTGCTGATTCTCCTTTCTCTCTGTAACGGACAGTATACTGCCTAGAAATAATGTGACAGAAAAATACAGTATTAACCACAACCGTGAAAAACAATGCACAACAGCAAGTGTTCAAATCATCACAACTTCACATACACAATACACTCAACCACCTGAAGAATTTGGCAAATTCTTCAGGGATAGCAACTCAGAATAATCAGGGTGTGGTTGCAGGGTATAAGCTCAGAGTGAAATTCAGTTTAACATGCTAAATCCCACATTACAGCCATCCAACAACCCTAAAGATTAGGTGATGGCTTTGCAAGCAGCCAATTGCAGACTCTTCCATTATCAGTGAAAAGAACTGTCTGTTCACTGGTTCATAGGAAGTGGCTAAAGAGGAGCCAAGAAAGTCTCTATGACTCCATCTTAATGTACTGGAATATACTTTGATTCGAAATTGGACATTGTTCACTTGCTGAAATTCTTGCAACCCTATCCCTTTCAACTCAACACATCTTGTTAAAGAAGGCTCCATGAGAATCTTTGCATGGAAGAAATACATTCAATTTGAGACAACTGCCAAAAGCTTGACAATGGACTTTAGACAGGCATTGAGACTGTAAAGCTGTACTGCTTCTGTGGTCAAGGGACAGCAAATCAATCAGTCACATTTGCTTTTCCTTGCAGTATTTCCCAGCCATGCTAGATTTCCAAAAGCTGCAAGAGTTAGAACTGGCATACCTTTGGCAAGCCTATGTACAAAGCCCAGATAATGCTTAGTACCTGGAGGGGATAGGTTTTTTCTGCTTTTCACTGAAGGGATCTGTCCAAGTGACCAGTACTGAGTGAGAGGACATGACCCGAACAGCTACGTCTTTTGTTTCTTCCAGTTCATCTTCCTCTGAAATGACACAACAGAATATGTGAGGCAAAAAGGTGAGGGTTTGGGACATTGTCCTACATTCTCATGAATATGGAAGTTGGTTTTAAGAAGGGAGAAGCTTACATATTCATTGGGATAGGGATTACTTCCAAATTCCTTTAGACAGGGAGTCAGCATTTTGACTATTGGCTGAGATCCCAATATGCAAAAAAAGTAGAGTTTGAATTGGTTTTTCTCTTCCTCCTTAACTTTCAAAAGTAGAAAAATATCAAATTCCATCCCACATTTCTAAAACCACCAAATGTTGCTGCGGTAGCGCTTGACTGATTCTCAGAAAATCATTTATTTATTTACATATGTGTTTATTCAGCCAAGCATTTATATATCCCCCTTCTACAAAAGCCTCAGGATGATTTACCATGTAACAAAATGAGATAAAAGCAAGTACAGTAACCAAAAGCCACACAGATTAACTATCAAGGCTGTTTATAAGAGACCTTGAAGGTTTAAACAAGCTACAAAACTTCTGCAGACAAAGAAGATTGCTTTCTCATTCAACTTGAACAGAGCCATCCTTAGGCTATAGTATCAACCACTTCCAACTACTGTACAGCAGCCATCCCTAATAGGTGCTTGCCAGATGCACTGGGGCTGCAACACACAGAATTTCTTGGAGTCATAATTCCAACATATCTCAAGGTCATCGATTTGGAAGGTAGTTATACGTCTTAGACTTCTTCTAAAGTTTATTTGGAGCCTCAACTGGAGTCTGATTTCAGTGCTATTGTGAAAAATGATGAAGAGATGACCTTAAGTACTGCACAATGCCTTCTTCTAATTTTGAGTTACTATAACCAGCCTACAAACATCTGGGCATATGCTAAAGACATCCAGGTTAGACAGCATGATACTCACTAAAACAGGAATGATTAAATAATCTGTTTCCCACCAACCTAGTCAGTATAGCCTTGTGTTAAGAGATTGTGGGACTTGTGGTCTAAAATATCTGAGAGCACTAAATTGCCTTCCCTTGTATTAACTCAAGTTTCAATTTCTAGCAAAAAAATAATAATTATGCAATAGTATGACTTGCCATTTTTGCACACTGTTTTCAAAACATACCTGGGACTCTCCTCTTGGTTAATGCAGCCTGATGCACCGGTTGACTCCGCCCTTGGAAATTCCTTGAATGTGATGAAACCCGATATACTGATTCAGATGCTGCATGCAACAGGAAGACATCCACAATTTTAATACATTCACTACTACAAAGATTAAAAGTCAACTGTGCTTTCAGGAAGTGCACGTGACCCCTGGCCTATTAAGGATGAAAGCCTTTGTTTCAAAGAATTGTAATTGGTTGCCCTTGACCAACACCAGAGCCAGACCAAACACTAGCACCTGCATGGTGTGAGCTACTGTGGCCAGGGGTCTCCACAGGGAGAGTCAACAATGTCAAAATGGCAGGTGTGACTGGGATCTAAGCTCTGCTCTGTTTTACACATGTGCAATCCAAGCAACACACATTAAAGAGGGGTGGGACTTTGATTGCACCCATCATTTTGGTACTATTGACTGCCCCTCTGGATGCCTTTGATTGTGGCCCAAGAACTCCTGCAAACTTCTAAGCTTCAGATCAGCCATTGCTTCTAAGACTGGGATGTCTTGTTTCTGTTTTTTAAACTGATAAAATCCTCACATACTGTACCTTTTTAGGGCCAGCATTCTGAAGTGAAGCTCCAGATAAAATTTTATCTGAACCTTCATTTATTCAAATTGTTCTGATATGAATCCCCCCAGACTAATTAATTCAAACTATCAACTAATTTAATAAAAAGCTAGCAATAGATGCCAACATTTATTTCTGATGGAAATAAGTCAGAAGTGAAATAAACTTCAATTGCAAATGTTCCACTTAGTTCTAACACTGTAAAAAAAAAAATCTCTTCTTTGGAGTTACTGCAAATTTAGTTGAATCTTTTATTAGCAATGTGTATGCGTTCCTTTCTGTCTGCCCCACCACATTTCCTCTTTCTGAGAGTATACAATTGTTATTTTATTTCTTGGTGGCCATGGATGATCTTTGGCTTAAATATGTTCTTTGTTCTTGGCAGTTTAGAATGAGTACAATCAAAGATAAGCACTTGAGGAATTTTTATGTGATATAATCATTTGTTCTGATGGATGAAATAACAAACATTACCAGGGAGAAGAGACCAAATAATTTTTCAACATAACGGAATATAAAATAACAGTGAGAAAAATAAGCAGATGGTCAAAAACTTTCACAGACACACAAACATTTACCTATTTTTTTAATATTATGGGTTCTTTCTTCTTTTGGCAGTAATTTAAAACTCATTTTTCTGTTGCTCTCCCCATATCCATGAAGGAAACCAGGGTATCTACGTGGGCTTGAGTTTGCAGAATGGGATGGTCTCCACTGAATTGGTGACCTGCCAGATGATGAATGGATGCGTGTTCTCAAAGGTCTGTTTGGCACTTTCTTCTCTTAAAAAAATGTAAAAAACACACAAACACACAAGTAAAGAGTTACTCTGAAGCATTCTTCATGCATCCACTGAAAAACCAACTTTTCAAAATTGTAGCATTCATTTGTTGAAGAAGGAACTGTTATGCATATGATCTTGAATGAAGCTAGAGAAATTTTAAAAAGTAACAGGGTATAAAAAGTGACAACCGATTCCTCATGGAGGGTGATGATACTCCTTTAGACTGGTGCCTCCAGATGTTAGGACTTTAACTCCCACAATATTCAGCGATGGCCATATTGGCTATGGAATTCTGGG